AAATTAATTTTTCAAAAACTTTATTAATAATTTTTGTTTAAACAAATAGTAGATATTTTTATTACTATAAATAATATGTTTACAAAATATTAAGATTACTTTTTTGATTTAATCATTTACAAATAGCAATTGTTTTTTTTGAATTTGGAATTTGTCTAGGTTTTGCTAGCAAGTATAATACTGATAGGGAGTACTATAAAAGGAGCAGTAGCCTAATTTAGTGATGTATAACATGAATACCTAGATTTATATGAAATAATATCCTAGTTTGGTACAAATAACTGTTGAGATATGGCTAGGCTTTTAAAATAACTCCTCTAGAGACACCAAACTGGAAGTATGAAGAGCGCCTACTTGAAAAACACCAATTTGGAAATAATACAAAAACTAAATTAGAAGTAATGTAATAAGTAATAAGAGGTAGAAGTTAGTTAGTGAACATTGTATAGTAGTATATAAGCGGGATATTTATGATAAAAATAGGTTCAGGTTTGGGAACTATCTAGTGAGTTTGGAACTGGCCTGTTGCAGGATAGTTAATAAGAAGGTAAAATCTCATATAGCAGGTCGCATATAGATACTCAAGTTAGTAACTGGATGAGCTAATACTGTATATATATTAGATAGTTGTAACTGTACTTGTAACATTTGTGATCAAAAATTATCTAAATGTAAATCTAATAAACAGTAGAGGCAAGATGCTAAATTAAAATATATATATATATATATATAAAATAAATAATTTATAATTAATTTTAAAAACTCCCATCCTAAGAATCTAGACTTCTGTAACACCATACTGATAGAGAGTACTATAAAAGGAGTAGTAGCCTAATTTGGTGGAGTACAACATGAATATCTGGATCAATGTGAAATAACATCCTAGTTTGGCACAGACAACTGTTGAGATATGGCTAGGCTCTTAAAGTAACTCCTCTAGAAACACCAAACTGGAAGTACAAAGAGTGCCTACTTCTAGGACACCAATTTGGAAGTAATACAAAAACCGAATTAGAAGTAATGTGATAAGTGATAAGAGTGAAAGTTAGTTGGTAAATATTGTACAGTAGTATATAAGTGGGATATATATGATAAAAAATAGGTTTGGAAACCATCCAGTAAGTTTGAAACTAGCCTGGTACAGAACAGTTGATAAGGAGATAAAATCTCATACAGCAGGTTACACATAGGTACTCAAGTTAGTAACTGGGTGAGTTAATACTGTACATATATTAGATAGTTGTAACTGTACTTATGATATTTGTAACCAAAAAATTACTTAAATATAAATCTAATAAACAGTAAAGACAAGACTACTGAATTAAAAAATTTTAAAACCCTAGTAATGCCTCTAATATAATATAAAAAATTAAAAAAAAAAATTGAAAATCTCAAATCTGAGGCAATAACTAGGTTCTAAGATTTAATTTAAATATATAAATCTAAGAATTAGCAAAAAATTAAAAACTAAAACTTGAGCAATACTGGGTTCTATATGCTAGTTTGTACTTAATTATAACCTGATATTTATAAATTTGTATCTAATTGTAACTTAATGCTTATAAATTTTTGTAAGTATATGCCTAATTGTGACCTAATTACTTATAAATTTAATAATTACTGTGTTTCAACTAGAGATTTTCACTTTATATGATAATACTAACTAAGTTAATCAGAATTATAGCTAGTGCTGGCTAACTTTGTTGATATTATGTTCTTTTAGAAATCTTTTTTAGAATTTTGACCCAAATTTGATAAAAATCATATAAAGAGATTTTTTGTAGAAGAGCTACCATATATAATATAGTGGGCTTTTATTGTAATTGGCCAATTTCTGTAGATCATCCTGTGATATAGTAAAATTTTATTGGTTAATCAAAATTAATCAAAGTTTTAAATTTTAATTAAATTGTCATGAAGAAAAAAAAACTGTTATATATAAAATTGATTTATAATAAAATTAACTAGCAGAAGTTTTTATTATAAAATCTCAATAAATTAAATTTAAAACTATAAACTTGTTACAGGCAAAACCAAAATTTTATTAAAGAAATAATTCTAATTTAGTATATTCAAAAAAAAAAAATAACTCAAAAATAACCCAAAAACAGCCCAAAAACAAAAAGTACAAGAAATAAATATTTGAACTTATTTTAGAAATTAATAGCTAATAAAAAATAATCAAAAAATAACTTTTAATAATCGCTTCAATATTAAACTAATCTTTAATTTATTTCTGTATAAATATTATATAGTTAAAATATTACTATTTCGCTTTAACTCTTTTCATAAAATATATAAACCTTATGATCTCAACTTCATATTCTTAATCTATATTATAATCAGGTTTTTATATTAGTTGAGATTATGGAGAATTAGTTTTTACCAAATATGTAAAAGATAGCTTAAATTGCTGAGTTTAATTGACTTATTGCTCCTATATATTAAACTTAAATATTTAAACTTACCTCTTATCTAACTTCCAAATTACTTTATGTATTACTAAATTACTTTAACAGTTTATAGATCTGAAGGTATTCTTTTAATTTTTTTTAGTGTCAAGTTTTACTAATTCATATCTGTAACCACCAAACTATTTTGTAACTGAGAAACATTACGCCAATATAGAGCCCAGTAAACAAAAATATAGCTTATAAATTTTTTCTATTTTGAGAAAATCACATTTAAAATTTAGTATAGCAATAACAATAAATATCTATTATTAGTAAAACCTGTTGGATTGACATAATTTGGCTAATTACGTAATACTTTTCTATGTTTCCACAGCAACAGGACTTACAAAATCTAATTTTAAACCATGTTTTATCATATATAGAACTTCATAGCAAAAGGTGACAATAAAGCCAACTAATCATATTTGAGATTTTATAATAATAGTTTGCTTATAAGTTTTATCTTTCTAAAAAAATATTTTATTCTATAAGTATACTAATAAAATGTATATAAATTAAATATTTTTTAATCATATAACAATTTAAAATTATGATTTTCTTAAAATTACATGATCATCCCAATGCCCCGTTTGCTATAAGCAGTCTTATATAATATTTAAAAAAGTAGACATTAAAAAAAATTTATTAAGCAAATAGATACTTTAAATGTTAAATTATATATAATAATAGCCGCTTTATACAATGGTATCATTAACTCAATTTTGCAAAAAATGTCATAAGCTGTGTTTTTGTTTACTAGACCCTATAAGGCTCCTGAATACACTCATTGGAACAAAAGCTCTAGTTATCCCACAAAAAATTTTCTACCTCTGTAATATTGGCCAATTGAATTTCAGAATTAGGTGTAATGTAAAAATCAAAGCAAACCCACTTTTTTACAAAAAACAAAAATAGCTTTAAATTTTAATTATGAAACAAACTTCTATAGCCTAATTAAAAATGCTTCTTGTGAAATTTTACTAATAAAACAACTCAAACTCATACCTTATACTGTTCTCACCCTAACTCTAACTATAACATGGCTTATCGCGTTTGTTTTAACCATCATGTTACACCTGATCCTGAATTTTTATTGATCAAAATCACAGGTGTAAAAAATTTTTTGTGAGATAGCTACCTATGTTCATTGGACTTCGCAGTGATAATAGGAAGATATCACATATGTTTATTAGTACAAAAACCCGAATCCGTACAAGGTTATATAGTGCAGGACACCTAAAGGTAGAAATTATGAAATTTGTTCCATTTTCAAAAATTTCATATTGAAATTTGATGTCTTTGTGAATTCTTGCACTTTGATTGGCTAATAATTAATTTTTAAAAATTAATTTTAAATTAATTTTAAAATTAGCCAATAGCAGAAGGCTAAAACATATGACTTGTCCCATTTTTGGCCAAATTTTTACATATCATATAAAAATACTATACTTTTAAACCTATTAATTGAAAAAATATACAATGATTTTTTAAAAGTTAAGGCCGCTAAGTTGTAGCAAATTAGCTAAATTACAAAATAGCGGCCTATTTTTTGTGATATTGTATTTATATTGAATATTATTGGCTTTAAAGTTTTTGAAGCCTTTAGATGTCCTGAACCGTACTTATGCTCAAATAGTACTAAAAATTCAATCCATACTATGGGGTTCGATTAATGTGATATCTCCGTATTCAGGGGCCCTGACCCCATACATATGTAAAACAGATTGTGTAACAGTTCGTGTCGATCATCCAATTAAATAAAGCCCGCTATGTTACCATACATTATGAAAAACATTATGTTACATGATATGACCCGCTTTAAAGACCCCAGATAAGGAAATCGATAATTCGGTTATGGAAATTTTCATGATTTAATTAATGATGGATACTATTGCTGTAAATTGTTTAGTTGAAGGTGAAGACCCTCTTAAAGACGTTTTTTTGATCAGAATTGATAAGAATGTGTTAGTATATGATCTCAAAACTGCTATTAGAGCGAAAAACCAAAATAAGTTTGCAAATGGTGATACAACAGATCTACATTTGTGGAAAGTAGATATCTTGCTTGATAAACCCAGTGAAGAGTTGACAGTACTTAAAAACAAAGAACGTGCCGTAATTAAAGAATGCTTAAATGGAAAAATGCTTTATCCATTGCAGAAAATTACCAAGCTTTTCTCTGAAGTTCCAAAAGAAAATCACCTTAGTATCATTGTTGAACGTCCACCGATTCTAGATGTAATTCAAGGTATGACTGATTTATATAAGTCAATATATATAATCCACTCCTAATCTAAATTTTTTAAAGTATTTTCAATTAAAATTTCGCTTGGGAGGCAACACAAGTCGTTTACTTGGACTGTGGACCTATCTAAAGCATCACTAAATAATATAAAGCAAAAAATTCTCAACATCCTTCCTTTGCCGCAAGATATGACAGCAGATATTTTGACGTTACATTTTAGCAAAGAGAATGACAAAAGCTCTGAAGAACTGGAATTTAAAAATGATAAATATTTCCAAATATATCTCAAACAATATGTCAAGGCTTCATCTTTGTCGCTTAAAGTCCAAGTATATACATTACAAAAAGCATTTTCTGAATGGAAACTTGGAGCGGTTTGTGAGCTATTCGAATTGCCATCTGACTTCCAAGAATTTTCCAAGTTCAGATGTGGAATCGATGATCTTAAAGATCAAAAAGCAAGCGAGTTACTTGAACATCTCCTTAAAGATCTTAAGCTCCGTCGTGAAGCCATTAGTGAAAACTTAGAAGCCATTAAGAGCAAGTTTGTAGAACCATTTCTCGTGATAGCAACGTCGCTATTCGATGGGAAGGTTAAACTATTTCCAGAACATGACGTCCAAGGAAAATATGGGCGAGGATCACTGGATTTCTGTTTATATTTAAAAGAAATAATCGTCGGCGTTGTGGAGGTGAAAAAAGAAGACTTTAATCAAGGCGTGGCGCAAACTGCTATGCAACTTTATTGTTCACTTGAGGTAGGTGACCCTAGTATTTATCCTGTGCCTAATTTTAGCAACAGCATAAGCCAATATTATGGATCCATAGAAAAATATGAAACGAAAGCGTAGCGAAATGGAAGCAGAAAATTTGTTCATTGACAAGGCATACGGAATTGTTACAGATAGTCGTTTGTGGTATTTTATCGAATGTGTTGTGAATGAAGATGATAAACCGAAATTTAGCATTGATTCGAAGCAAGGAGTCATAATTGACTGGGGTGAGAAGACAGTACCATTGGAGAATGGAGTACGTGTAGTTTTGGGTCATATTGTTTGGCTGTTGAAAGAGGCGGAAAAGTTGATTGAATCAAAATTATCGGAAAAAAAGAGGCGGATTGCAACATATTAAAAAAAGAACTGTATAAGGGGATTCTCCAACACTTGCAACATATTTTAGATTTTTAATTTAGTACTAGTCTCAGAGCACGTCCTTACGTCCGTGTTACAATTGTTATGTGTACGTACAGTACTTAAGTTCCATTACCACATGACATAATCAAAAATGTAACCATGTTCATATTATTGCGGTAGAATTCAAATAAAAAAATTTTTATCGAATTTGATCAGGTGTTGCTAAGGTATCTTCGTTCAAAGTTTTTAAAAACATCGTCTAAGCTGCGCCAAATTTTTCCTAAAACTTTGAGCAGAAACCACCTGATCAAATTCGATAAAATTTTTTTTATTTGAATTATTATAACTACTATAGAATTCAATAAAAAAATTTCATCGAATTTTATTAGGCGGTTTGAGATATCATCGCTCAAAGTTTTAGGAAAAATTTGGCACAGCTTAGACGATATTTTAAAAACTTTGAACGAAGATACCTCAGCAACCACCTGATCAAGTTCGATAAAAATTTTTTTATTTGATTTATTATAACTATCTATAGATTCAATAAAAAAATTTCATCGAATTTTATTAGGTGGTTTCTGAGATATCTTCACTCAAAGTTTTAGGAAAAATTTGGCGCAGCTTAGACGATGTTTTTAAAAACTTTGAACGAAGATACCTCAGCAACCACCTGATCAAATTCGATAAAAATTTTTTTATTTGAATTCTATGTATCCATAGAATTCAAATAAAAAAATTTCATCGAATTTATCAAGTAGTTGCTGAAATATCTTTGCTCAAAGTTTTAAGAAAATCTTGGCGCAGCTTCTATTTATGATAAACAATGCAGCATTGCATTTTTTAAAAAAAACTTTGAGCAATGATATCTCAGCAACACCTGATTAAATTCAATGAATTTTTTTTTATTTGAACTCTTTAGATTCATAAAATGCAAATTTAAAAAATCATCGAATTTGATTAGATGGTTGCTGAGAAATCGCAACAATCACGTACAATCGGCATGTAGTGATCTGATTGACTATAAATTCTGTTACTATACTTACAGACTGTGATTGATATTGGTAATCGAATTACTATTTATTTCTAAGCTTTTTTTAGGCTATTAAATTTTACAAATGCATATGGGTCGGTACACAGCAAAACCATGCTTTGAGGCATTAGGAAATATCAATGATTGATCATTTTAATGCAATATTTATATACATAGTTACCAAAAATTGCGCACGATATTGTGCTAAATCATAATATGTTAATGTGCAATAAAAATTTTACCATGAATAAATCACTCACTTGGGAATATAACTCAGTAAAATCTCAATTTTGCTTAAAAACTTTCAAAGCATGGTTTTGCTGTGTACCAACCCATATCATACTTACAACCCCTTAACTAATTCATAAGCCTTTTTTGTCCATACGTCATTTGGTTTAATTCTTAATAATTTCTCAAATCAGCGACTGAATCATTATATCTTTTCATCATATAATTAATCTCTAGCAACCTAGTTAAATCTTCAAATGCTTTATCATATTTACCCATAATATAATATATTTTTCCTCGGTAGCTTAATTCAAATACATTACTTGGTTCTTTTTCTAGTGATTTTGTTAATTCATCGGTTAAATTAACAAGCGTATTTTCATATCCACCCATAATAAAATAAACCTTTTCTTGATATTCCAATGTTAATGCATTATTTGATTTTTTGCTAATGTCTTCATCTTTCTTTTTTGTTTTTTTTTGAAACCCTTTGAAACTATTTAGTAGTGTCGCTAAGGGACGCCATTGGCGTTCATTGATGTCTTCATTAATCATTGCCGTCAATTGTAATACGTTGTTATCTTCATTAGTCTTTGCTATCAATTGAAATATATGTATATTGACAGGGTTAAATTCTAAACAAGCCAAAAACGGATAAACATTTGAATAATTTTACCAGAATATTTAAATCTTTCGTTGCCGAAGTTCACTTTTACTGATCCGCCTTGAGATTTAAATCCAACGTAAGGGTATAGGTTGCCTTCCAAATCGTTAGGTAGATGGCAAGCAACTCCTTAAAATATTTTATAATTATTGAATTTCTGTCTATTCGTTTTAAAAAATATAACCTTTAATTCTAAATGTTGGTACCAAAGTTAATTCCATTTTTAGTATAAAATACAGTAGCATCCAATTATATCATCAGTAGTATATGACTCTCCATACGGTCCACCACTTCCTGAATAAAAAGAATTTCCATCGTCACCATAGTAACCACACCCCCATGATTCATTTTCCTGTCCTAAAAGATATGATATAGATATCTATAATAATAAGCAAATAAAAAAATAAAGGTTTGCTATTACCAGGCATGAGCATATTATTTATGTAAATTGAATCGCCTATTTTTTTATCGCTTTGCTTTGTACAGTATCCGATTCCAATCATTCTATTAAGAAAATAAAATTAAAAGATTACAAAAAAATCACCAGAACATAAGTGATGTTTATGGTACGAAATAATTATTAATATTACCCATTTTTTCAGTTTTAATTTCAAAGTAAAATATCCCACACTCTGAAGGGATTGGATTATTTGCTCGAACTATTTCAGTTTTATAGTCATCAGGATCTTTAATTAAAAGGGTTTTATTAATTTAAATAGCTATGATGATATTCTTTTAAATGCCAATGATTATAGTAACACATTAAATATGTTTCTGTGAGATTTTTCATTTCATATTACCTGTATAACTCACTTTAAGTCCAGTTGAATCTATTTCAATAAATGGGATTTATCTTCAATATCCCATGCAGTCGGTAAAACAATATCATTATACGAAGTTATTGATTCTAAATCTTCCATGCTGTAGGTTAAAATCCAATTCAGTTCTTTTGTTAATGAACGGTGAACATGCAAAAGTAATTTATAAAAATATTAATTAACGAACACAATGTACTATTTATGTATGCGTGTTTGTATTTTGTACTAGTGTTACAAGCTAAACGATAAATATATGTATTTATAATTAATCTTATTTATTTATTAGCGATAGCTGCAAATAAGGTTTGGCTTTGTGTAATTGGATGCGAAGCAGACAACTACTCTTTCAGCATGAATCGTGTACAGTAAAGCTGTATTATGTAATTAGGGTAGCTGCGCGACGTAGTCGCGCTTAAACCAGGAACGTAGCATATAAGTTTTCTAACAGTTTTATTCTTTTTTTTTAAAAA